TAATTTACAGTCTTAATTTTTTTTTAAGAAAATTATTTTCTACTGTAATTTCACCAATAATCTTGTGTAAGCTATTGATCTCTTGTTCTAATATTTTTAATTGTTTATTTCTCTCTGATTCAGGCAGAAAGAGTTCTTTAGCAGAGTTAAGTAATTTTGCTTTCGACTCATGTAAATTAGGTTGTGGTACCTTATATTCACTGCTAATCTCGAGTATAGTTTTTTTATCATTGACTAAGCTAATTTAGCCTTAAATCCTGGATCATATTGTTTCTTAACACCCATCTTTTGTTTATCCTTTCAATTTACTTGTTTATTAACAAATTTACTCGGATTAATCTATTTTTCTTGGTCCTATTTTGTGGGGTCATTATAAAGTTGGCTAATATAAGTAGTTTTATAATGCTCTTATCGTGTTATAAATTTTATACTGTTTAAATAAGAAAAAGTTTTCTCCAGAAGCTGAATATCTATATCAAAATTATCATCAATAATAATATTATTATCTTCTTCTTGCCCTTCTTTATTATCACCCCCTAAATAAAGCGATAGTAGTGGAAACAATGCATTATTTTCATCAATAGTTTTTAATTTTTCTTGCCATAAATTGCTAGATATCAAGGATATATTATATCCTTGTTTATTTAACCATAAGATTAAATCTTGCCATTTTAATAATTTGGGACTTATGATAGGAAATGATTTCCCAAAAGAATCCTGTTTTAAAGAGATTGTTATAATAGAATTTGTTACATTATCCACAGATAACATATCATAATATTTATTATGCCAATTTGGAGCATAGCCTAATTCTATACAACCCTTTATCAACATAAAAATATGATATCTTTCTACTGGGAGAATACCTGTTTTATAACTACCAAGAATATGACTTGGTCTGAAGATAGTAGCAAAAATACCTTGTTTTGCAGCTGTAATAATCAATTTTTCAGCTACAAATTTCGATTGTTCATATCCTCCATCGATATTTTCATATGATAGACTTTTTTCATAATCCTCAAATTCTTGAATTGTATTTATTCTGGTAGTTGAAGTGGAAATGTAGTGAAGTGCTTTTAATTTATTAGAGGATGCTAATTTAATTAATTCTACAGTGCCATTAACATTAGTAGGTTTTAATTTTTGATAATCGTATATATGATGTACTAATGCACCACAATGATATATTACATCTATCTCTTTACAAAGCATGTTATACTGTTGCTTGGTTAGAGAGAATCGTTTATAAGATAAATCACCTAATACTATTTCAATACGATTTAAATTTTCATTTAAGCAATATCTTTTTATTTGTCCAATAAGTTTATTTTGAGCTGCATTAGTATCATCAGCTCTTATTAAACAGTAAATTTTAGCATCAGTATTAGTAATAAGATTTTGTAATAAATGTATTCCCAAAAATCCAGTAGCGCCTGTTAATAAAATCGACTTTGGTTGGGTATAAAGTTCTTTATGTTTTAAAATTTTTTTAGATATATGCAATTTTATATTAGTATCTTTTAGCAAAGATGCTGTTGGAGAGGGAACTTGAATATAATTTTTATTATCTTTTTTAATTCCTTTAATCAAGCTACTAATCGTAGGTTTCTCAAAAAAATTGCCTAGTGATACATTAGTATTAAATTCTTTATGAATCTTGATCACTAATCTTGTTGCTGAAATAGAATGTCCTCCAAGTGTAAAAAAATTATCATTAATACCGACTTCTTTAACTTTGAGTATTTCTACCCATATTTTGCATAATTCTTTTTCTAATTGGTTTCTTGGTGCTATATAATTTTTACTTTTCTTCTTAAATTCAGCTTCAGGCAAAGCTTTTTTATCTATCTTTCCGTTATTTGTTAATGGTATTCTATCTAAATATATAAAATATCTAGGGATCATATATTCTGGTAACATTAGTGCTAAAGTACTTTTAAGTTTTTCTGTTATTTTTTCTTTTATAACCAAAGCGTGGAATTCTTTTCCTAAACTATCTATAAAAACTTGTGAATGTTTTCCTGTAATTTCTTTTAATACTATATAGGCTACTAAATTTAATTCCTCATTATTTGTTTTTTTTGTG